ATAACATCATGTAAACCTGAAAAAAACCCTATGTCCCGGTAATCATAATATTCGTATCACGCAACAAACATTGTTGATGGTCGTTTATGTATGCCCAAAGCGTATATCAGAAAGTCTTGTTAAGTATTCGAATACTAGTATTTAAATAATTTATTTGTGTTTCAAATATTTTTAAAATACTTTTTGACCAATATATTTTAAATACTTAAAAAATAATTTTCATTTGTATTTATATTCTATAATACTAAATACTTTTTTCGTCCTAATGTTCTACCACAATTCTATTTTCCGTTATTTCGTTATTTCGTTATGTACTGTTTTAGATTTTGTTTTACAAATGTTATTTYATAATGGTTCTAACTTCTGAGAGTTTATAAATGAGATTTCAGATTTCACCGAAATACAAGTATAGACGACAGAATGTCTCCGTCAGCCCCTCACTCAGACTTACCCTGGCAATTTTGTTGGATAATAAAAATTTGATTAAGCGTACAACTGCGTTCGGTTGTTTTTGTAATAACTTACTATTATAAATACTTCGAATAATTTAAKAATTAAATAAATAAGAACAATAATTCAAAGCGAAAGTATCTTCAAAATTCGTATATTATTCCAATGTCACTCGTACAGTCGTACCTACCTATTTATTCAAACTTGTTTGTTTTGATGTAGAAATATACATAAATATATTTGTTTTCCAACAAAATCCACTGTACCTACAACTACTGTCATTATCTATTGAGGTAAATTACATTTAAAAATAATTGTTTAATATTATATATTAGTACTCAAAGTCTTGGTGTTATTCTCGTCTCAGTTTGGTCATCTCATAACACGATGGGTAGACGTGAGAAACCCATCATGCAAGTCATTCTACATTTGAATGTAATAAAAATATCACATAAATTAATATATCGCTGCATTTTGAAAATTCACTTGTCAGCGGATAATATCTCGATGCTAATCGACCGGTGCAAAAATATTTTGAATTCACAACACAAAAAAAAAAAATTAGTTTTCAAGACTTATACCTCGTAATACATATTATTATATTATATTGGGAAACGTCAAACCTTTTGTTTTCGTTTGAATTAATATCGTATTCTTCATTCCTCACAAAATTGGATATACAAAACCACTGTGCGCGCACAACAGTATACAATATTTGTAGGTTTAATCTCATAATAAGACTTTACCTTTCGTTATAATTCATATTATACATTTTATAATATTACATAGGTATACGTTTCATAAGTGCACAGCTGTAAGCTCTGCCACAATCGTTCCCATGGCGAATTATGGTATGAATAGGTACTAATATGGATTCGGGAATTGTCTACGTACCCACACGATATAATTGAATTATCTTATAATRCACAAACTGGTATACCAGATACCTACTCAATAATCATATAGTACGACTAATATTATTTAAGCCTATTACAAAAATTATACCTATGCGGTATACTTAAAATATATATATATATTTAAACGTATGGCATGATAATAATATATTATAGGTACTCGCCGCAATAATAAGTGTACTATATCATACTATAGAATACACCAYTCTTATTATTATCATTTATTGTTGAAGTATAAATGAAACATGTCATACGGAAACGTATCTACGAACCGTGATAATATTTTATATTAACTTTTTCCCCTTTTTCCCCTTTTTCGCTACTCGACGAATTTAACAAATAAATTTCAATCATTTGCGTCTCGTCGGTACAATTATTGAGTTCAATATCATAAATGCCTGMGGGAGCTTTTTGAATGAGACACAAACGGGATAAAGTAAATACAGTTTTGACATTCAGACACACAGCGAGTTTTCCGGTGTAGCGATTGATGATAAAATAAGGTAAAAAGTTTCTYGGCGAATTCCTGCCGTGACTTTATATTTCATAAATTATAATATACCTCTCTTTACGTGTACCTACCTACTTCCAATGAAAGCGCTGTATGCACCGTGACTATATAATATTGCATTGCAGATTGCGGATAACGCGAATAATAATATGAAAAATAAACACGTTTTTCCAACTCGAGATCGACGTTTGCCGGTTTCGGACGGCGCGATTGATAATATTAGGAAAAAAAGTTTCAACAAATTCGTACCGTATTTACACCTATATATATATATATGTATACACACTTTAATTTTCAATGAAACCGCGCTCGCGAGTAGTATTGATTGCTAAATGATAGTAATTTCCGAAGGGAACTGCCTCGGTTATAAACAAAACTTTTGTCCGTTAACACGGTTTGAAACAAAAAAGGTGTATATATACACGTTTGGTGTKTTTGTGTATGTGTGCGTACGTGAAATAATAATAATAATAATAACAAACCGAACAGAATGTTTTTGCTGTGTATATAGTTTATGGGCCGGTCAAGTTTCAAAGTTCCAGGTCGATTGGGTAGGGCAAAAGTCACGAATGGGAAGTTAATCGTGAAACGGGAACACATCAAGACCAGACGCCCGGCGTATACGCCCAGAGAGACAAGCTATGTTGATTTATTGTCTCGATAACATCGGATAGGAGGAGTACATGTCAAATTTTTGTTAACCACTTGTGCCATCATTCACAGCGAAAACTCTCCCAGTTGGATAATATTGATGCAMTTTTCAGACCGTATAATATAATGTATAGCTAGATGTATGTATATTGTATATGTATACATATACGCGCGGCGGTCGTATATAATGTGTAAAATACATGACAGACGAATTTCCGAATGTTTCTCGGCCACAATAAACTGTAAATGAAGTCCATATTCCATATAATATTATCATAAAAATATGTMATTCAGACGGAGACGGCGAATCGCTAGCAGTAGGTCGAATTGTATGATAATCGCGTGGATAAAATATACTTATTATATTAAAAATATATTCATATAAACAAGAACCAGCCGACTTGTCAAAGTAATGAAAGTAATCTGAATAATTTTCGCATTTTATTTTTCTACTATATAATATAGACGTCACGTAGCCATAATATTATATCGCACACAAAACCGTCGAAATTACGGCACGATTATTGTCACTCGAGCTGAGTAGAATAATAAAATAAACTATATACCGTTTTAAACTGTTAAAGAAGATTTCCTATTTTATCCGATTCTCTCGCCTCCACAATCTCGCAACACGCAAACCAACCTCTATATTATGTTATTATTATTTCGCGTCTCGTTGTAATAGATTTGCCTTTTTCCGCGCTACTTGTGCGCAGGTTACCGTCACGACACTCCCGTGCAATATTATTTATTATTATTATTATTACGCATCCCATACGACCGGCTGTGATACGATAATGCAATACAATATATATAAATATTGTTTATGTCATGTATGAGGTTCGATTTCGGCAGAAAGGCATTTACGACGTGTGTGCTGTAGCAATAATAAATCTYGTGAACCATGTGGCCTTTATGCATCGCGTTTTCATCGGATTTCCTGCGTTGCGAGAAAATACTTAAGTACGRCGCGGCGCGTAGGTCTTTCTATGATGGCCAGCACCGAAAACCCAATATCCGGCCGCGTCATCTCAAATCCTCTATCCGCCGACCATCATCTTATCTATATGTGATTTTGAAGAATAAAATTATTATTTTTTTCCCATAGAATTTAGTTTTCGCGGAATATTATAATTGTGTTAAGTCGTAGTTTTTACTTTTTCAAATAAGTGCAGAATCTACCATAAACATTACGACTGTTTGGTATRATATACAGTATATAGTAATGCTAAGCAGATGGTAATAGTAATAATAATAATAATAGGCGGAAGAAAACAATAGAGACGAGATTTGGAACGTACGAAACGACAAGGATTTACTTTGAACCGCGG